CCCACTGTCCATAGCACCTCAGCTAGTGTGGGGGAGCTCATGAGCCCCCCCCCCCAATGCTGAGTGGCCTGAGTTCTTGTGTGGGTCACACGTGGGCCACCATAGCAGCCATGGGGTTGTGACTACAGGGTCCTGTTTCACCCTGGCCCTCCATGACCTCTGGTTCTGACAAACTCTCCACACTCTTCCACGATGGTTCTGAGTCTTGAGTGTGGCTGAGCATGCGCCTATGTTCATTCTCTGCACTTTGACCAGCTGTGGGTTTCTGCCTTAACCTCCATCCCCTGCACAAAGAACCTTCCCTGACGCAGTCTGAGATGCACTAATGTGCAGGTAGAGATATATGAGCTCACCGGGCAGTTTGAACCCTAGTTCAGCTTACCTCCTGGGTCCCCTAAACCTGGGTCTGCGGCCAGGTGTGTGGTACGAGGCATGCCTTTACCTCCTGCGGAACCAGCCTTAAAGCCAGTCAGAAAGCAGCTGGTTACACGGCCCACTGCTGCTCCCAGGAGCCATCTTGCCGTGCTCGCCATTACTGTAGCTCAGTGTTCACAGCAGGCTAGCACTGTTGACGACCCCACCCCTGGCAGCCTGCACAATGCCTTCCAGCAGCACACCGCGAAAACCAGCCAGCAAGAAGTAAGCCTCCTGCTGAGCACAATTTGATTTGCTCAAGTCCTGGGCCCCAGGTGCCAGCAGCTTTTCTGCAGAGTTGATCACAGCTCGGTATCATTTACCCTGACCGCATCCACAGCGCAGAACTTAGGAACTAGCTGTTCCTCCCCTGGCTTCTTTTCAGACTCCCCAGCACCAGCCGCCGTATACAGCCACCGATCTCGGGAAAAGTCGGTGTGTTGGAAACCGCACCTTCCTGTCCTGTAGAAAGCTAGCTCTCTGAAAAGAAGTGTGTTCTGGCTTCCTCTAACAGCAGGTCTCACCTCAGCGGGCTCACAGAACTAAATCTGAGTCACAAAAAACAATAGCAACAGCACATATTTTCTGAGTTCAGTGACCAAAAAGTTAATTTCAAATGAAATGTGTAATAAGTCCAAGGCTTCTCCACCCACGTAGTAAAGTATGACTTCACTGCAGTGAACAGAGTATGTGCACTTTGCATGACAAAGCCCCAGAAAGCAGGGGTCTGGAGAGGTGGCTCAGTGGTCAAGGGCACTGGCTGCTCTTCCAGAGGACCTGGGTTCAATTCCCAGCACCCACATGGCAGCTTAAAACTGTCTGTAACTACATAAAATAAATAAATCTCCTAAACTCAATACTCAAAGCGTCTGTGGAGAGAACCCACAGGTTGCAGGAAACATTCCCAGCCGTCCCCAGATGGCTCAATGGGTAAAGGTACTTGCTGCCTACCATGACAACCTGGGTTCAAGCCCTGAGCCCAAAAGGTAGAAGGTTGTCATCTGACCTGCACACACCCTCTGTGGCATACTCTTACACACAAAAATGAGGGGGAGTGGGGTAAAATAAAATGGATACACACAGAACACTGATCTTTTGAGGACACATCCACAATGTAAAGATGAAGCAAACTCTGAACGGATGGACGGACAGACTTGTGGTCAGTGTCTGCCACACACCTGCAGGCACCCCCAGAGACCAGAAGACCAGCTGGGCACCAGCTGCCCTGGAACTGGAGTTCCAGGAGGCTGGGAAAAGCCCAGCAGGAACTCTGGGAACCAAACTTCGTTCCTCTGGAAGAGCAGCAGGCACTCTAGACGATGGAACACAAAGATGCAGCCCAGGCTGGCTCCCAGCTCATGACATTCCTGCTTCCGCCTCTATCAGCACATCCTACTGGCAACGAACACAACGAGCTCAGTAAAGAACTTCTACAGGCGAATCTCGTTTGCAGACACTCGGCGCTCCCACACTCAGGAGGTGTCCAGGCGTGGGTCTCCTATCTTCCACCAGTGTCTGCAACGGAAGCCTCACCGCTCCCAATACTTATTTCCTCCATTACATATTTACACGGGCCACGCCTGGCCATAGGAGTCCTCCGGCCTTTCGGATGACTGACAGCTAGTGTGAGGCGAGAGGAAGCTAACTCACCAGAGGCCAAGCGGTTTGGAGAATGGCTGGTGCCCCCGGCTCCATGCCCCGCCTTCTGGCCATGGATGAGTAGCACCTTAGAAGCCAAGAGGACAGCATGAGCGCTGGGACCTTGCCCTGTGTCACTGAAGCCTCCAGGGACGCCCAGCCTCCTCGGACACCCCCACCCAGGAGCCTTCTTCATCCCTCGCAGGCTTGCTGCGCGCTCACGGGGCGCCTCTGAGGGGCACAGGGATGGTCGGCGCCCCTGTGCCGTTGGCAGGAGCGCCCCCAGGGGGCCAGTGCACTCCGGGGCACGGGGCTCCCACAGGGACGCCCGTTGCGGGCTGGGAAGGCATAAAGTCCCGCCTCTGACCGGGCACGGGCCGCAGAGCCGAGGACCAATTCGCCCGCCACGCCGCCGGCCCGGAAGCGCGTGTGCGCACGGGCCGCTCCAGCCCGTGCGGAGGCCTCGTCTCGGTGGCAACGCCGCCCGCCCGCCTGACGTTCTGCGGGAGTAGGAGGGGCTGCTGCGTGGCTCAGGGCGCGTGCGCACTGGGAGGTCAGGTGGCGCGCCCAGCCCGGAACTCCGGGAGTAAATTATACAAGTTCGCGATTTCTCTGGCACCAATTTTAGATAGCGACATTGACGGGGGGAAAAAAGGTCACACCTCTGCAAATAAAGCCTGGGCCGTTAGTGTGCAGTTTTTCACGCTGATGCGGCTGGAAAAAGGACTTGGCCGGGTCAGCAAAAAGCACCCAGGTGGCTCAGTTCAGCTCCAGCCAATCAGACGTCCCCTCACGAGCATAGCCACACTTTCAAATCCCTCTCCTGGCCTGCCGGCACACACGCAGGCAGAACACAGTGTAAAGAACAGATAAATCTTCAAAAGAATTTTTAAACAGTATTTTAATGAGGGGGCTGGGAAAATGGCTCACTCCCACGGTGGCTCACAACCATCTGTAACTCCTGTTCCAGGGGTCACACCTCAGACACCTGACACTTGTGGTACATTCCCGAAAACATTCACTTGCATAAGAATGATAGCGCAGCCAGGCAGTGGTGGCACAGCCTTTAATCCCAGCACTCCGGAGGCAGGTGGATCTGCGTTCAAACGCAGCCTGGTTTACAGAGCTCCAGGACAGCCACGGCTAAAGACAAATCCTGCCTCAAAAAAAAAACAAAACAAAAACAAAAGCAGTAAAAATAAAAAGGCAAAAAAAGTAGAGCTTATTTCTAACTGGGCACGGTGGCAAACACCTGTAATGTCAGCACTTTAAAGGCCTAGTCAGAGATCGGAAGTTCAAGGCCAGCGTGGACTACCTGAACCCCGCTTCAAACTATTTTTTAGTTTAATCAAGAAAAGCAGGTGTGGTGGTTGAGAATGTATACTGAAGAATAGTTAGGGCAGGAAGTCCTCTGGAGCTCAGGAGTTGGAAGCCGGAAAGGCAAACAGAGACCTCATTTTCTGAAAGGTAGCAAGTCCTCTGCAGTCCCAAGGTTGGGAAATCCTTAATCATAATTCCAACCACCAACCCCTCACTGTACTAACCAAGTATGCTTCTGAAACGGGCTTCCAGGCTCTTCTCCATGTCTCCCCCTCCAACCTCACTTGACCTCAGGTTCTTCTGCTAAACCCATCCCGTCTGCTCTGGTGCCCAATCCACTTCCTGGAGTCCTTTTCAATTCCCAACCCTGGGAGAAACCTGCTACACCTAACCTCTTGGTGGTTGAAATACCTGTTCCAGCCTCACCCACGTGTGGACCAGGATCCCCAAATGGCAAGGCTGGAGATCCTCCATGCTGTCCACCTTCCCACAACCTTTCCCAGGAAGACCTTCTCTGGGTTACCTACAATTCCACCACCTGTTAGGGCTCTTTCCCTGCCTACAATGCTCTGGGGTACCAGTAAGGTGCTGGTTAATCAGCCAGTTTTTTCTACTTAATTCTGTGGGGTGAGCTCAGAGTAATGGTTAGAGTGGAGAATGAGAAAATCTCCGTTCCTTTTCATAATCCTAACCCTGGTGAGACAAACATACCTATGAGCCCATGATCAGGTTTGTGAGATACAGGGCCATCACACTCCTGACAGCTGGGCAAGGTGCACCCCAAGGTGCCTGAACCTGGGAGCATCTTCAACTTCCTCCCCACTCTGCAAGCCAACCAGGGCTGGCCGAACTGAAGTACCAGTTCTTACCATGTGGCCTACCTCATGGTTCACTTGTCACTTCTCAGTCTTGAATTTTTCCAGGGCCCTGCGCCTCAACTGTGCAGCCCTGGCTGGCCTCCAACAGCCCCCACACCCACTTTTGGTTTTCAAGATGGTTTCCAGTGTAGCCTTGACTGTTCTAGAACTCTATGTGGACCAGGCCTGCCTCTGCCTCCAGAATGCTGGGCCTCATGCCCCTAAGAGCTACCTTCAGCACTGCACTTCTTCCTAGGAGCAGCAGGAACCTACCCTCAGTCCTCCGCCTGCCACCTCAGGGATGGATCCAGAGCCACAAAGCTGCTAACACAATGGTCTCCCTTAACCCAAGTAATTTCCAGATTCTATTCCAGCACCCCACCCAGCTTAGGTGTAAAAAGCCCCCAGTTTGCTGGGAATAATCACACAAATTATCTCCCCTGCCCCTACTTCCTATACAATTGACACCTTCTGCTTTTCTGGATTCCACTCCATCCTTTCACAAGGACCAAGCTTCCTTCCAACCAACTCCTAGAAACAGGACACAAAACACAGGCACTCTCTACCACTAACTATGGCCCAGCCCCACTGTCTTTAAAGAATCGCAGTAGACTGGAACGCCACCTGTTTGTGGGACATACACTTATTGGTACAAGGGACAGGGTCAATTTGACTACTAAATACTAAGGCCTGGGTAGCGTGAATTTTAATTACAGACCCACCAGCGTTCTACTGCCCACTCGGCGACAAGCTTAGAACCCACACATGAGATTTGCCAATGTGTCAAAAAAGCTTTATTCCCTGTGCGGCCTCACGCTTTCTTGCCAGCTGCCTTTGGAGCAGCTGCTTTCTGGGCTGGGGCCTTCTGACCCTTCTGACCTTTGGCAGGAGGCGCTGCCTTCTGACTTGCAGCCTTCTGGGCAGGGGCCTTCTTGCCAGGTCCTGTTGCCTTCTTGGCTGGGACTTTAGCCTTAGCAGCAGCCGCTGCTGCTGCAGCTGCCGCGATGGCAGCCTTAGCAACAGGTGCCTTTTTGGGAGAAGCTTTCAGGATAGCAGCTCTTTGAAGTTTCTTGACCTCCGTCTTGATTATTCTGTTTCTCTGCAAAAACACAGGAAGACCATTGGCTGCAGGCTCAAACAAAACTTGCTTTATGCCCATTGTTACAAAAAATAATTAAACTGCTTCTTTTATACAACTAAATTAACCAAGGATAGTATTTCCTAGTCAACAACTCAGGTCTCAGGCCTGCACTGGGTACTTCTGCCCACCACGCTCTCTCGCCGGCCCCGACCTAAACAGTAATCTAAGAAACTATAAAATTCAAGCACCCGCAGCACCATCAAACAGGGAATGGCTACTGTTCCCTTATCACCCTGCATCAAACAAAAAACATACATCTGAAAACTTACCATTTTCTTTGCCTTCATGACTTTGAAACGATCGAAATCTGTCATCTTGGCTTTCTGTTGAAAGAATAAAGCAGAGCTCTCTCCTGTCATGTGTCAGCACACACCCCTCCCCCCAGAACAGAGGCTGTGCACCATTACCCTTTCTCTGGCATCGATCTTCTTGGCCCATCTTGTCGCGGCCCATTTTGTATTGATGTCTGCCTTCTCCCAAGCTTTTCGTACATACTTCTGACGCGCACTGTGGAGAGCAAGACCACACATGAGCCAATCAGCTTTATGGCAGGTCAAGTCAAAAAATAAAGAAAAAATTCAAAGATTTGAAAATCACCTCTGAGCACATCTGCTGCCTCTTACATATGTGTACATAAAGCCATGTCCTTCCTTTTAACAAAGCTACTCCTCACACTGTTTCTACTTTAACCACCAACCTGGCCAAGTTATTTTTTTGAGACAGTTTCTCTGTGTGTAGCCCTGGCTGCCCCCAACTCAAGAGACCCACCAGCCTCTGCCTCCCAAGTACGGGATTAAAGGCCTGCTGTACCTCAGACAAATTTCTTAACCACCAGAAACTTTATTACTTCTTTGAACCCTAAAGATTTGCCTGCAGCCACTCCTGCAAAGTGGCTGCTAACACCCCACCCCTCCTGAACCACAGAAATTGGATCTACTGTGGCAGTACAGAACAGCAGATGCTCCACGCACGGCACAAGAACACTGCTGATTTGACAACCACAGTGCAGCAGTTTTAGCTTGCTTTTTTTAAAAATCTGTATTTCTAAGAGAAAACAAAATTTAAAAAGCACACAATCTCTACTGCCTTCCTTTCTTCTAAGCTGTAAACACATTCTTTATGTTAAACACTTTGTAACCAAAACACAAATCACAGGAACTTTTTGCACCTTTGAAGCAGGGGCATAGTAGCACACACTAATCCCATTTTAACACCAAAACCAAACAAATTTTAAAAAACCACCACAAGCCAACCTAACTACTGCTCATTGTTCCCAACAGACACTATCATAGGTTCGATTCTGTTCTGCCCAACAGTAGCAGCAACAGAACAAACATGATTTTGGAACCAAGAGGAGACTTTCTCATTGAATTTATTGTATGAAATAGCCTGTACAGGTAACTTCCATGACGGAAATTTTAAGTATATAAGATCTGTTTGCTACATGTAAATTCCTCTTCTGGGTTGGCTCTGAATCATCTGTATAGTCAAGGGGATGAAACTGGAGAGCAGCTCAGCGCCGGGTGTTACCTGTGTGGGAACTTGAGGATGAAGTCGGTGAGCTGCATGCATTTGAAAGGCATAGCCTGCCTCCTCACCCGCGTGCACGGTCCATCCACCAACGCCTGGAATACAAAAACCAAGGCTCTCCGATCGGTACCTGAGGTTCAGGATGGCTGAAAACCATGTAACCTCTGGTCCTGGCAGGGCTGAACTCCAGGTTCTCCCACCTCCACCCCCAACACGGGCTGAGAAAACAGGAGCCACCAACCTAACTTTAGGGCTGGGACTCCGCAGTCTTTGGCAATCACTCTGCCAACAGAGCGGTCTCTCCAGCCCCTGAACTCCTTTCAGGGCTGCCTCAAACTCATCTGCATTTTGGCCAAGCCTAAAAAACGTCTGCCTACCTACCTGGTGGTTAGTCTTCTAAGGTGAGCGAACTCTGCGCTTCAAAGCCTGTGCCCAGTGCGTCCTCAAAGGTGAAGCTGTAACCTGAAGAACTCCACCCGAGGACCACTCTCCCTTCCCTCAGCACCGTGTACGGGGTGCTGTCAAGCTTACTGCCACGTCACATAAAAGGTACAAAATGCCTCGTCCCACACGTACCCTGTTCTGATCAATAACATCCACAATTGCGACCAGCTTTCCAGCATGAGGCCCAAAGGAGACGTAGGCCACCCGGCCAACCTCCACGAAACGCCTGAACACCTACAACAGGGTGAGAAGAAACAAGGGTTGGCTTTAAATATTGCACCGCTTACCGGCAACACGGGGCTCAGAGCCGCCCTCGGGCCGGACTTGCACTTACTAAGCAGCGGTTTTTAAACTAAGAGGTCCGTCCCGTGGTCATCTTCCCACCTCGACTTGCTCTGACCCATCCTTGTGTTCTCCCGCCTTGTACTCTCCCTTCAATCCTCACGCGATAAACTGCTCGAGCCCGACCCACTCCCCGGTCCCGAGAAAAATGGACGAGCGAAGGGAGGCCGTGAGGCCGCAGCAGCGCCGCCATCCCCCGGACCGCGCCCGGCAACTCCGGCCACTGCGCACGCGTGGCCCGGGCGCCCGGCGGGGTCCCTCCACGCGACCGCGGGCCGCGCTTCCCGAGGGCTGGATCCCGCGCCCCGCAGCCTCCCCACGCGCGGCCCGGCTCGCGCAGAGCCGCTCCACGCCCGGGCCCGCCCGCCCGCGGCGGAGGGCGAGCGTCACGGCAGCCGCGCTCGGAGCCCCCAGCACACACACTCACCATGTCGGCGGCGGCCGGCGAGAAGGAAGAGGCCCAGGCCGGCCGTGCGCATGTGTCGGCGGAAGCCCCGCCCCGACGTACAGCGTGCCATCGGATTGGTCGGGAGGGAGCGTGCGTGCCTGTACGCATGCTCAGTGGGAACGAACATGGCGGCGCCGGCTCGGTTTCCGTTGCGTCTTCTCAGACACGTGCTGTGAACTTGTGGTCCTAGTATTTTCATTTTTGTTTATTTTTTTTTTGAGACAAGGCCACTCGGGTTCGCCTTCCACTCTGTATAGCCCAGGCGGGTCTCTCGCTCGCTGCAACGCTCTTGGCTTAGTCACCCCAAATGCTGGCCTGACGGGACAGTCAATCACCCCTGAGAACTTGAGGGGCAGGAGAGACTCAGGCCGTTCTTCCAGTTAGGACTGTCCGCACCCCACTTCACTGTTCTGCATCCATTGGATGTAAGACACAGCCGAGTGTGGTGGCCAACGCTCTTACTCCCAGCACTGCAGGGCAGAGGGGGAAGGAATTCTGGATTCAAGGCCTGTTTGCTCTCCATACCGAGTTTTGTTCCAGCCAGGGATATATAGTGAGACTGTCTCAAAAACAAAGATATCGCGAGCTGGGCGGTGGTGGTGTGCACCTTCAGTCCCAGCCGAGGCTGGAGCAGGCAGATCCCTGAATTCCAGGACAGTCAAGGCTACACAAAGAAACCCAGTCTCGAGAACAGAACCTCAGAAGATACTGGACACTAGGAGCAGAAGAGGGCTGTGACTGAATCCAGAATCCCAGATCTTAAGAGTTTCATGCTTCATGTTGAATCATTTAGGGAGAAATCTCCCCCTCAACCCTTTTATTACTTCTCCCTTTTATATTATTTCTTTTGCATTTATATATTTATTTATTTGTATGTGTTTGCTTGAGGGTGCAAGTGCCAGCGGGCATATGTGGAGGTCAGCACTTGAGGGAGTTGGTTTTCTGCTTCCGCAACGGAAATTCCTGGGACTCTAGTTATCAGACCTGGCAGCAGCAAGCGTCTTTACCCACTGAGCCGTATCACTGGCCCAAATTATAATTTTCAAAGACATGAACAAAAGTGGCCATAATGGTACTTTTTGTTGTTGTTTTGTTTCATCTTTTTTTTTTTTTTTTTTTCTTTGAGACAGGGTTTCTTTGTGTAGCCTTGGCTGTCCTGGACGAGCATTGTAGATCAGGCAGGCCTAGAAGTCACAGAGATCCGCCTGCCCCTGCCTCCCTGAGTGCTGGGATTAAAGGTGTGTGCAACCACGCCCTGCCCGGCTTCTTTCTTTTCTTTTGTTGTTTTGTTTAGGTTTTTGTTGTTTTGAGACAATCTCCCTATGGTTATCCTGGAACTAGGGAGGCAGTGGCAGCAGCAGATCTCTGTAGGTTTGAGGCTAGCCTGCTCTACAAAGTGAGTCCAGGAAAGCCAAGGCTACACAGAGAGACCCTGTCTTGAAAAAGAAAAAGAGAAGAGGGGGAGGGGGATTTAGCTCAATGGTAGAGCACTTGCCCTGCAAGTGTAAGGCCCTGGGTTCAGTCCTCAGCTCTGAAAAAAAGACAAAATAAGGAGAAGGAGAATAAAATAAAATTCATGGCCGGCAAAACCTTGAATGTCAGAATATGGACCGGAGTGCGGTGGCCCGCTGTAATCTCAGCCCTTGGGAAGCTGAGGCAGTTAGTTCCCGGGGACTCACTGGCCAAAGAACGAGTCCTAGTTGGTGAGTTCCAGGTTCAACAACAGAGAGCAATGAAGGAAGACGCCTAAAGTCAACTACTGCCTTTTACAGCGATGCACACTCAAGCGAATGTGCCCTTGCACACGTGGGAACAAGCCAGCAAAAACAGCAAAACCGACTTTGTTCTTCCGAGGTTCAGGCTGCAGCTGCTAGAGGGTAGCAGGCTTCTGAGTCGCGCTGGGCCTTCATCCCGCAGGCTTCAGGTCTTTTTCAAGCTCTGTTTCATCCACAAAGTAACTTGGGGGTTCTCAACGTGTGGGTTGCGACCCCCTCTGGGCCGAGCAGTCCTTTCACAACAGTCACCTAACGTCATTGGAAAACTGATATTTATATTACAATTCCTAACAGCAACAAAATTACAGTTTTGAAGTGGGAAGAAAAAGAATTTTCTGTTTGGGGATCTCAGTAACCCATGAAAGGCTTGCAGCATTAGGAAGGTATTTACACTAGGATTCATAGTGGGACCCACAGGTTGAGAACTTCTGCTGTGGCGTCTAGTGAGACAGTAACCTAGATTCCCGCTACAGCCCTCTGAAATCAGATGGCTACAGAGCATGTGCAAGACTCTGCAGCCCCTGTCCTGAGCCCAGCCTTCTCCAAGCAGCTCTTATATGTTGTCTCCGATTTGCTAGCAAGGTCAAACTAGGTTCACATTCCCAGGCTTGCTTAGCCGTCTCCCTTCTGGCCCCTTCTAACTGTTAACTGGTTTTAAAAAAATGTTTTTTAACTTGCTGTTACTTAAACCGAGATGCCTAGGTTGTAAAAATATATTGCCTGCCAAGCCCTCACTTACTGCAGACAAATGACCCACTTCTTTGTTCCCTCATCACCTTGAGCTCCGCACCAAATGTCTAGGAGGATAAATTAAGGTCCTTGGATTCCAGACTGAACATCTTGGAAAATAGTTAAAGGCCTTGAGGGTAGGTGTCCTGGGTGAGGCCCAGCCTCCAACAGAAACTTCCTTGCTCAACCCATCATGTTAAAGTTTGGCCCGGACCCTCACCAATGATACCTGCCTTGTCGGTTTTCACCCTTAAAATATGCAATACAGCTTCCCCTCCGGGACATGGTTCAGATCCTGAACTGGCTGCCTCCCTGAGCTCGGAAAAGAAAGCTTTCATTTTAAGCTTCTGTGTCTGATGTGAGTTTTCTCAGCTTCTACCCTGAACCCAAAGCAAATGCTGACAGGAAGGTCACTTTGAAGTTGACCAGGGAGTCAAGATGGCAGCTCCCACACTCCGGTTCCTTGGACCTCTGCCCACCACCCATCAAATTGCCATGAGGGGTAGAGAGATGGCTTAGTGAGGTTCCCAGTACCAGCATCAGTGGCCCACATCCAGCTGTAACTCCAACCCCAGACGACCTGACGCCTCTGGCCGCCAGCCACACATACACAGGAATAAAAAGTAAAAGAAAGAACTGGGCTGACGGGGCTGGCGCCTACAGAGACAGTGCGAGCCAGGGAGGGCTCTTGGGAGATTTCAGCAGCTGGCCTTGTTATTGAGTGCCATCCCTGGCTTGTTGCAGAGAGCCAGGTGGAAGACTCGGGGACGACAGCAGGCACCTTGCCCAGCTTATCAGAGGCCTGATGCCTCCAATGCTTCTGCCATCAGCGGCTCTAGGATGTAGCCCAGGTTTTCAGCTCACTGGGGATGGAGACCTCAGTTTATCAGAGGAAACGTTTGAAGCCTCAAAGAGAGAGAGAGAGAAAAAAAAAATGGATGTCTGCCAGAAGTGAACCCAAAGCTACCCAGACCCTGACTGATTTCCTTTAAAATAGATGTAGTTATTTGTGTGTGAACAGGTGTGCACACCCACCTGAACCTGTGGAGGTTAGGGGTCAAGGCTGGGTGCCCCAGTTTGCTTTCTGTTGCTGTAAGGGTGAGAAAGCACATGACCAAAAGCAACTTGAGAAGGAAGGGGTTTGTTTGGCTTACGCTTACGGTCTACCACCAAGGGAAGTCAGAGCAGGAGCCTGGAGGCAGGGACTGAAGCAGATGCTGTGGGGACACAGCTTGCTCAGCCTGCTTTCTTACACACCCAGGACCACCTGCCCAGGCACGAAACAGAATCCAGTGGGCTGGGCCCTCACACGTGGCATTTCTCGAGTGAGGCTCTCTTCCCTGGTGACCTAGCTGTGTCAGTCTCCCTCCAGCTCAGCTAGGCAGGCTGGTCACTGAGCACAGGGAGGCGCTTCCTCCGTTTCCCCAACATGACCAGGGCAGCCGTCCCGATGGCTTTCCATGTGTGCGGTGGGGATCCAAGGTCAGGCCCTCTGGACAGTAAACTTGTTACCTACTTTGTGGGAGTGGGTGGGTGGGGCCCGTGGAGACCAGAGTGGGGATCCAGTCCCCTCACACTAATGAAAAAGTGGCTGTGATCTGTGAACTGAGCGTTGGTTCTCTTCAGGACAGCAAGAAAGCAGTCACACACTGCAGCCCTAATTCCCCCCCCCCCACACACACACACTTTGAGACAGGGTTTTGAGACAGCCTTGGCTGTCCTGGACTCACTTTGTAGTCAAGACTGGCCTTGAACTCACAGAGATCCACCTGCCTCTGTCTCCTGAGTGTTAGGATTAAAGATGTGTGCCACCACGGCTGGCTCAATTTCTTTTTCCTTTCTTCTTTAAAGATTTATTTATTTATTATGCATACAGTGTTCTGCCTGCATGTACACCTGCACTCCAGAAGAGGGCACCAGATCTATTACAGATGGTTGGGAGCCACCACGTGATTGCTGGGATTTGAACTCAGGACCTCTAGAAGAACAGCCAGTGCTTTTACCTTCTAAGCCGTCTCTCCAGCCCCCTGACTCAATTTCTTAATCGTTGGTTGTTTTGGGAGCTTTTGGAGGTCCTGGAGGTTTAATAATGAAGACACGGAGACAAGGTTAGAACAGGTTAGGCTATTTGCTGAGGCAGTCCCTCGGCCGCCATCTAGACTCCCCGGACCTCCCTGCCCTGGTCCTATTCCGCTCTATCCCCCTGCCCCAGCTCCAGCCCCAAGAGCCGCGTTCCTCCCTCCGACAAAGAAGCTGTTAGCATAGTGGGCGTGGCTCCACAGTTCACCCACTCTGAACCAATCAGCAGCAGGACCACGCCCCCAACACACGTACCCCTTGGTGTGCTTTAGGTCCGGTTGAGGGCTGCATGATTTCCCCTAGAGCAAGCGAGGACGACAGACGGTTACGTATCCTGCCAGCAAGTGGCGCTGCCGACACAGGGACGCACCGTCACAGCCAGTTACTACGGTGTGTGGGGTAGGTTACCCCCACAGCATTTTATCTTATTTATTTTATGGGTGTGGGGTCTGTGTAGTCCTG